TATTTAGGATTAATTATTTTAAATATGTTATTAAATCACTTACCAAGTACTCTTAGTTTTTGTCATAAATCACTTGTTAAACTCTTAAAAATTAAATCATATCATTTATTTCCCGCAGCACCATTATCAATAATTTAGCCTTTTTATATACGAGGGAGGGCAGAAAAATGTAGCCGACTTCCGTGAGATAATATAACAAAATGGAGATTCTCTTTCTGATGCGATGGACACTGACAAAAGGAATCGTATTGCAAAATAAAGCTGGAAAACTTTGTGTTTCATAGTACCAAGTAGCCGGGCAAACAGACAATCCCGAACGGAAAGCAAGAGGTTAGGCTTCTTCCATAGACCATGGTACCAGTTTTTAAGGCGGACCGCTTTTTCGTGCCTTTTCTACACAATTCATATACTAACAATTTGTTATTAAATCAATTAATTAAATTATTGTATAGCGTCTATGTTTTCTCTTTGGAAACATACAAAATAGACCCTAGGTAGAAGACGAAGTAACGAATAGTCACTGTGTCTTTGAAGAATAACTACTGCAAAAGAAGATTTTAAATAATCTTTTTATTTTAACTCAAATTTAACAAGATGCACGTACTCGATGCTAACCACCACTTTTGGCTAACTTAAATTTAACAGAAAATAAAAATGTAACAAATCACTAATAAATTTGTAGGGCTAACGATTGGACCCGTAGCTTAATCTAACCCCCTAAATCGTCTGAAAGCCGAGCCTAGAATATCAGTGTAAACTGAAAGGTGTCTAATACTGACTAGACAGCTAATTTCAAACACGCAGCATAAACTCGGAACTAACTCCGCTATTCTCTTTCGAACTCCTGAAATGCAGCTTAAATACTGCTTCTGAAACAAGTTCAGATTAATATACTACGTCATTTAAAATCTACATTCAGGCAGGAAACTGAAATGAGGAGGGAAAGGAAAGTAAAACGAAAAATAATTGGTTAGAATAAAATAAGGTCTTTACAACTGAATCTTATTATCCTTTCAAAAGACATCAATTAGCTTACAGTCAGGTATATTAATTTAACACATAGCCTATTTTGCAGTAAAATGTTGAATATGCGATACCATTTTATCTACTGTTGGCCGGAAAATGATCAAAATCGTAGTTTCATTGAGCTCATTATTAAAATACGCGGGTGAAGGCACGCTAGAGGCAAACAAGATTAATCCATCAAACTTAATTTAACTGCTGAATAATTGTTGGTAAGGCACAAAGTGGATCTTGCTTTGTTAGATTACGGACAAGAACAAAAGGATAATCTGCTTAAGGGGAAGAACGTATAAGGGGAATCGATTCGTATGAGGAAAACAACAAGCAAACAAAACCATGCAAGCAGTTTCATTTGCTGGAATTTGTGGTGGGTCGAAGGCGTGTACTCAGCGATTCTACTTGCTCGGCTATTGATGGATAGATAGGAAAGATCAGAAAACCAGATTATTAATCTATTTATCTGTGGGTGAAGCTAAAAATACGTAGTCAGTAGAAATTAAGGCGTAAACATTTTTTGATTGTTAACGAGCAATTTCATGTTTGAACATAGTTTCTACTGACTACTTAGTATACGCACATTGTTATAAAATGGAAAGATCTAAAGATAAAGACTACATATAACATATTTCGTATTTTCTTTTTCTCTTAAATAATTATTGTCCAGGCTTCACTTTTCTTTTACAAGTCCTACACGAAGACATTTCTTCTTTAATGCAGGTAGCCCTAGCGTGCTTTTTCATAATCCAAATAATTCCAAACTTGTTTCTTGATTATTATTCAATTAAATAATATTTCTCTTACTACAAAGAATCCAGTGGAATGCCAGAATATTAATTAAAATTAAATAGCTAGGATTTTATAAAAAAGTGCTTCTACAGAACTTTTAGAAAACAACAATAATGAGAAACGATGATAATAAGCTAATTTGCAATTACTTCTTCCTTTTATGGTGCGAAATAGTATATATGCATTAATTTAAAACTACACATTACAAAGTTATTATAACTTCTCATACTCTTCCATCAAAGTTTGAACATTCATTATTTGAAAATTAGAAATCTAATTATTCATCGCTATTTCTAAATGCAAGCATTTTGGATAATCTTAGTGGCTAATGTTTTTGTCATCGTAACCTGCGATGATGACGACTCTGCAGCACTCCTTGATCCCAAAGATATGGATGGTGAGGAAAACTGTTCAATCAATATCATTTAAATATACGTTTTGTAATGTTTAAAAATTCTTCATACAAGACATAGTTCTTTTCTCTTTTTACATGTACTTTTAAGATATATACTTATAAGATTATAATATCAGATTTTGCTTGCCATAAATATTGATAGCGTTTTTAATTGAAATGATTAAGATGCCTTTTTAATTAATTACTCATTCTGCAAATACTAGATATATTGTGATTGGAAAGTAAGAAAGCTATTTCTAAGAGCAAAATTTAATTCTTCGTTTGCTATTCAGAAATGCATTCAGATGTAAGAAAATACGTTTAAAAATGTCGTACAATACCACTGTAAAAAATAATATTTGCTATTAATCTGTTCTGATAATCTTGTGTTTGAAAACTCTATAAATATCATAATGGACTGAATGCATACAGAACCGATGATAGCTTCGTAAGATTTATTTCCCCATGACAGACAGATTACAGTTCTGGATTTTTCTACAAAAAATACTCGTACTTTTCTCAATATGACAATCAGTAGTAGTTCGCACAGAGATTTTTCAGTACTCCGAACTCAAATCTGAACTGAAAACTGATTCTTTCTCTCTCCAGTCTTGTACAGTTTCCTCCCCACTCCGAGAAATTAAAGAACCTTCTATTTCTCTATTTGCAGGACATACGATCACAGTTACATATAGAACGGTTGCAGTTACAATTATACGGGCATTTAGGCCCATTACAGTTATACAGGGACCGAACCAAAATCTCCCCAAATGGTCGCCATTTTTAGTGGCGTTTGGCAATTTCTCACCCAAATTTGGCAACAAAAATTAATTACCAAAAATATGGCCAGCTTGGCGATATCTCACCGGTTTAGCGAGTTAGCTATTTGCCTTCAATGTTAAATAGACTTGCCCTGTAATCTCATTTTTTTGTCAAAGCTTCATATTTCTTGAGGTTGCTCATGTTATACAACACAAAATTCATGACGATATGCGTATTCTTAATGCATATTTTACAACACAGTTTGAGGTCTTCAAAGACTATATTCTGAACTTTCCATTTATTGCCTTATGCTACACTGCGCAATGCAATGAGGATTAATCATTCCCGCGAATAATAAAACCTCGAATGTAGAAGATACTTAATTTATCTTTGAAATTATAATAGCATGTTTATCCCTGTAACAAACTAAGTTATTTATAAATAACATGCTCACTTCCAAAAATCGTACATTAAGTAATACATTTAATAAAATACAGCTAATCTAAGGTATATCATTAGTAATTTTCGTAAATATCGACATCTTATGTGCAATTAGTAATAATCATTTATAATGGCATATCTTCTGCTAATACGTTGCAAAATTATCATTTAAATACCATGCAGAAATAAGTATATCGCATCTTCCTTTCGAATTAACTTTTTAAAATTCTTAACACGCATCTAGAAAATAAGTTTTAATTTAATTCAATTATTTTTAAGCGTATTATTGATATTCTGTAAACACTGACTACCAATAACTATTTGGACACCTATGCAAATGACGATATCTGCGGTCCTAAGGTACGTCACGGACTCCGCCGGTATTTATCGTAGGAAACAACATCGGCTTTAGTCGCATGCAAGATGCCTCGCAGTTCGGAGTTCTCTGATTTCGAGAAAGGTATAATTATCGGGTATCACAAATGTGGCCGATCCTTAAGGGACATATCTAGCGATCTGAAGTACCCAAAATCAACAGTGGCCTATGTGATTAAAAAGTGGAAGGTGAGCGGTGACTGCCGGAATATGCCCCGAGTCGGCAGACCAACGAAACTGGAAGATAGAGACCGACGAGTGCTGTCCAGAGAAATTCGGAAGAACCGCACCCAACCGATGGCCCTCATCCGCGAGGAGTTTCAACAGGCATCCGGGAGTATTGTTTCAATGAATCCCATCCGTAAGGAAGCACATCTGCTTGGTTTTCATGGTCGTGCTGCTGCCCATAAGCCGTTGATTCCAAAGTCTAACAGCGCTGCTCGTTTAATGTGGTGCAAAGCACATCGAAATTGGACCGTAGATCAGTGGAAATGGGTTCTTTGGAGTGACGAATCAAGGTTCACGCTTTACCGTTCGGATGGCAGAGTCTGGGTCTGGCGTCTACCTGGAGAACGTCTCTTGCCAGAATGCATTGTGCCAACAGTCAAATTCGCCGAAGGTGCAATTATGGTCTGGGGGTGTTTCTCCTGGTATGGGCTGGGACCCTTGGTCCTCATTCATGCTAAGCTCAACTCCGACGCCTACTGCACTATTTTGGATGACAATGTGCTTCCTACGTTGTGGCAGTTTTTCGGGTTGGACCCCTGTTACTTTCAGGACCACAATGCCAGTTGTCATGTTTCGACATTAACCAAGGCTTGGTATGGTGCCAATAGAGTTCATCGAATGGACTGGCCTGCCCAGAGTCCAGACCTGAACCCTATCGATAACCTCTGGGGACGAGTTGCATCGCCGAATTCAGGGGTGCACTACCCGTGCAAAATCGGTGAAGGAACTTATATGTCTTCTCCAAGCCGAGTGGAAGAAAATACCACTAGCTCTCATACAAAGACTTGTGGAAAGTATGCCCCGGAGGGTCCACGCTGTAATTACCTCTCGTGGAGGCTCTACCAAACTATTGATTTTGAATAAAGTTAATTTTTCTTTTCGATCACAGGTGTCCAAATACTTATTGGTAGTCAGTGTAGATACATAATATACCTGTACATTTAAATTCAAATGAAATACTTTTAATGCATAATTTGGTTCCAATTTTTAGCTATTCAAGAGAAACTAGCTAAAATGGAATTCCTAGAACAAATTCTTGGAGCAATATTTGGTTTCAAAAAACCTGATGCAAGGTAAGCAAATTCAAATTGTTATACTATTTTGATAAATCGATCGTAATATCTCGATAATACCTAACTGTAAATACTTATGCAAAGAGAAAACAAATAATTTATAAAATCTATCTCTATTTATCATATCGATTATTCCCACTCCACACAAAGTTGTGAGAAGAGCTGCGAAGGATAGAAAAAAATGTAGAATTATACTAACATCAAGATCAAAAATTCAAGAAAAATAAAAATAAATAGCGTAATTAAAATTTAAAATTAAGCATATTCAGAAAACAATTGCCATACCTCTCTTTTAAGACATGTAATTCTTCATTACTTGAAGTAACATTTATTTTAAAACACAGATATTAAAAAATGTAAAAACCGTATTTCGGGATTTACTAATTAAAACGTAAAGAAAATTCACAAATATTTTAAGACATACGTATTCTTTATAGCCTAAATAAATCTGAGAAAAATCTTAACACAAATTCTACAACTGTGATTCACAAAGAATTAATCAAATGCATATTCTTAGAGGCAATGATCCAAAATATTGAACATAATTTAATCATTTGACAAAAAACAAACATTAACAACAGATAAAAATATTCATTAGTGAAAAAGAATTAATGAATGTTTAGAATTTGTATTCTGAGTTAAATATCTATTACAAAATATTTTCTGTTTTTTGCATAACACTTTGGAGAAATAATATTTTATAAGAATATAACTATTCACTGTTAAAGAAACCAGAATAAGCAAGAGGAATTCGTATAATAAAGTACACTTGCAGTATTCGTAGGACTTCAAATATTACTAAAGTCTTCTTCTGCTACTGCGAAGGTGAAAAGGACTAAAGACGAAAAATGTTTACATAAGTGGGAATGATCTAAAAACAAATTCGGAAATGGTATAGCTAAATGGATGAAAAATGAAACCTCTAATACAATATATTATCTGGACAATGGACCAAAAACAATTAAGAAGCTTGGTTTTCTCTCATTTCTCAGTTAGAGTCATTAGGTAAATTGGAAAAGCCAGAGAGATGAAAAATTAGCAAACGCCTTCGCCGGCAATCGAACCACGGACCTCTCAATTATGCACTGAGTATCCAGACCACCACACCACGAATCCATAGCAAGAAGGCGGAAGAAATACCTTATATACTCCCTCTTTTAAAGACGACTGAGGTTTTTAGAGCACCCAATCGCCAAATCCTGGGTAAGGAAAATCATCATCCACCACCCTCTTAATTGAGCGCCACTGTGGAGTCATTAGCTTAATTGGAAAAGACGGAGAGACAAAAATTGAGCAAACGTCTTCGCTGGGAATCGAACGACAGGCCTCTCAATTACGCGCTGAGCGTGCAGACCACCACACCACGAAGGCATGCCAAGAAGCTAAGAGAAATCTTTATATATATAAGCGGCTAAAGTGTGTGCCGCCCATAATTTATTGTTGCCACTCGAAAAAATGAGCGTGGAAATTAACGTTTCCGCAGTTTTTAATTAATATCTCGGCCGATTACAGTCGTACGAAGATGAGAACGGTATCGATAGATTCAGAGAATTTTTTTTGGAATCCGAGGATACGCATCTCAAATTTCAACTCGGCGCCGTTCCGTAGATATTCGAGAAAAAAGAATTTGGCACGTAGCCAAATCCCTCCAATAGGGAAAACCTAAGAAAGAAAGTGGAAAATGTAATGAAAACGTAGGGAAAAATTAGTTTTTAATTAATATCTCGGCTAATTAAAGTCCCAAGAAGACGCGAATGGTGCAAATGGCGTGCCACGGACCTGAGGAATCCAACGGTGTGCTTCGCTAAGTCCGGAGTCGGAGAAGATAATGTTACTTCACATGCGGCTTAAGTGTCTGTTTGTCGCTGATAGTTTATTGGTTGCTTGCGTAACTGTGCTAGCCAAAGTGGTGAAGTTACCACGGCACAGGGTTGCCGTTTCAATTGAGACGTAAACAATTTCCTGTCAAACCTGCCTTTGCTATGACCATCAATAAGTCTCAGGCCCAAACACTTAAGCGTGTTGGCATTTTTTTACCTGAGCCTGCATTTGGACACGGTCAAACTTATGTTGCCTGTTCAAAAGTTCGTAAAAGAACTGAAGTAAAATTTAAAATAATTGATGGTCCTCTGCAAGGCGAGCTTAAGAATGATGGAAAGATCTACACAAGAAATGTTGTGTACAAAGAGATTTTTGACATGTGAATTAAAATTTTATTATTTAAATCACCTTTATTGATTGAGCTAGCATTGGCTCTTGAGAAAAAATACCACCAGTTGTTTCCTTCATTGCACTTTACTTTAAGCAATTAAGCAAGTAGAAGGGAGAAACCCCGTGGGGCAGTAAGCAGAGAAGCGTCCTCGCCGCCTGCCTTGGGGTAATTCATTTTGAATTAGCAGACACCTTTGCTCAAATCATTTTAATTACAATTTATAATATCTAAAACGCCGGAATTTCTAGTACCTTATAAGGTGATAAAGCTAGGAATTTCATTTTTTACCATTTAGCTGGTACAATTTCAAATTCGTTTAAGTTTTTCCCATACACGTATTGTTGTTCCATGTTCCCTTTTCTTTATTTTCATTATCGAAGTTGGAGATTCCGTTTAAGTAAACTTACTAAGCAACTAAGCAACAAGAAAGTTAAAAACACAAGCAACTAAAGACAATTTTTTACCCTCCAAAGCAAAAAGAATCCTATTTGGAAGAAGTTATCAATCCATGAGCTCAAAATTTTAAATTCTTCTTCAGTATTTATAATAGCGCCTTCCTAATCAATATACGTAGAATGCATGACTGAGACCGGCAATATAAAGGAACTGCCCAACAGGAGAAAGGTGAGAACGTTGCATACTGTGCTGTGGAGTTCTTGCTGAGCCTGGTCCCAAGGACAGTGCCTTGCGATGGATGTCGTCCTACTAAATTAGCGTGACAGATCAATACCTGTAAATCCACAGGCGAAATTCTGGTGCTTCGTCCACTTTTTCCTGTCCATGTTAATCAACCTAACAACAATATACATCATTAATTTCTGCTGACACATTTCAATAGTAAACAAATTAGTTGGAATATTTACTTTTCGGATAATGATTTCCATACTGTGGTTTTGTTTTACATGGCTTTTTGTGAAGCTTAGTTGCTTTACAAACCACATTGTGTCATTATTATAATCAATAAAATACAACACCTATGTCTCATAGTTTGAAGTGTCTCTTTAGTAACATACTTTGTACGGTTATTATGTAAATTAACCAGTTATTTAGTATAATTTCAGCCTTTACTGTAACTTATTTCCGTTTCCTGATCAGAATAAGACAGAGCGTGTTTCTAGCCGGCGCGTGCGCGCTACTGCTCGCAGGAATTAAACCGCACAAGTTCTGATAAGTTGTAATAAGGATTTGATACACCGGTTAGAATTACTGGGACAGATTAGTAAGCAGTAGGGTAAGATTTAAATTGTGTAGTCTTGATTAATAGTCCACGTTTTAACTTGCACTTTACTGTTGCTTTAGTTGCGTCGCCACGAGCTGTGGCTGATGCTGTTAACACAAGAATGTGCATTTGTGATCTAAGTTCTGTTTAAATTAAAATGTTTATTTGCACCTTTCCCTTACTTTGTAGTTACTTCCAGACATAGCGATAATTCGTTGCAGGTCTGTTAGGGGTTTGGGAATAATTAACTTTCGCTAGATCAAGTGAAACTTCAACACTCTTTCAGAGCTCTATGAGGATGCCCATCGAAAATGGACTTTTTAGTTTTTCCTGCCTCATTCGATATGATATTGCTTCCAACCATCTTAAGCTATTACTATCTTTTATTTTAAAATTATGATGTTCTTCATCATACAAGTAATTAGATGTCTACAGATAAATGCTTTGCTTTATCTTACAGGGATGACACGTGCCTACCGATTGGAGCTGAATGCCATTTCTGGAGTGGGCCCAATTGCTGCGGTTTAAGGACTCGGTGCATAGTCTGGGACACACAGCTTACGGCAGCCTACAAAGGCGGTCCTGCCAGATGGCTTTCTAAATGCCGCGAATACAGACTAGGTGTATGGCTCGATGACATCGGCAGTTGGTTCTCAAGTTGGGGAAAATAAACAATTTATGCAGTGGTCCTGCTAACGAAATACGAAATGAAGGTTGATGAAATAAAAAACTTTAATTTTAAATTTTCCTGTGAATGAATAAATTTTGAATTTCAAAAGCTTGTTTTTTATTTAATTCTGCCAATCTCTCACTTAATTCTTGGTTGGCTGCCTTTACGTAATTTTTGAACTAAAGGTTGTTGATAAGAAAATGTGCTATACCGTATATGATTTTAACGTTTGATCTTAAATAACAAAATACACATTTTCATTGCAAACGTAAGTATCATAATAATCCCATTCTGCATTGAAAATTCTAATAAATGCATGATGAAATTCTCTGAAATAAATCTATGCCGAAATGCGTAATATTTCTTAGTTGCATCCTTTCTCAAATTCGATGCACGAACGAAATAGTAATAATGGCTTCCTAATCTGTATAGTAATGGGATTAAACTTTTTAATGATAACAGGATTTTTAGAGCAAGAGAAATTTGAATACCTCCACTACTGAGAAGAACAGTTGCATCTTATTATGGCTTTTACATATGAATATAAGAAAATAGTATAATAGAATACGATTATCTGTGACTCTAATTGTCTTGCTTCGAAAGCAGTTCTCTTGCTTAAAGAAAGCTATAAAATCAATACTTTTTTTTTAAATACTTCTCGTTCAAAACTGCATGGTTATTATTTCTTTTTCTTTAACCTCGTTCATTATTTTCCTACATCTTGCATTAATTAGCACTGGGAGTTAACCAAAAATTTCACATCATTTTAGAAGATTTCATGATAATGGAGAAATAGTTATACTGAAAAGCAATTTCTATATTTAATTAAAGAATCATAGTTCTGAAGACATTTGAATGATAAAAATAACTAAAAGAAAAAATATGAATTTTTCAGATTTTATATTAATCCTAAGGGGCCATTTTTTAACGTTTTCTGTATTACTTTTATTCATTAAATATCATGTTCTTCACACTCATGCCATAAAATTCAAAACAACAGCAATATCGCAAAATAATTTATTTAAAAAGAGCATATCTTTAGAATTTCCGTAACATATTCCGCGCGCTGGAGGTAAAAATGCTTGTTTTTCCGTCCAGTGTTGCCACTGCTCGCTTTGAAATCGTTGAGTTTGTTAGTCAAAAATATGTTAAAGTGTTACAAAACATGAAATCGATAATAAAACAAATTCAAAATTCAAAATTAGAATTTCCAGATGCCAATATTCGGTGTAGGATTACGTTATTCAAAGTTTGAATGCTGTTGTTTTATCACAATGCAAAAAACATACATACATTTATGCAGATTCTTCATCATTTAATTTCTTTAATTACAACACAGGGCGATAATATTTGGTGACAACAATATGAAAAGTGGAATGAACATTTAAAGTTTTCAACGCAAAATGCCAAAACGAAATTAAGACCTTCTGGGTTAACGCCCTTTGGGCTAAAAATGTAAAATTAATTCTTTTTATATGTGTATTTAAATGAATTGCTTCTTAGGTGTAAGATAAAGTGAAAGGTGACGCTCCGTGGCAGACTATTGGCACTGATATCTTGTGATGCTATATTTTTAAAAGTGCTGAGGAGGTGTCTCAGGTTTTCTCTCATCCGGAGCAGACTGATGTACTGCCGAGATATTCTATCATTCAGGTGCTCTATGTGCAGAATTCAGCTGAATTTATCATCTAAAATAATGTTAAAATATTTTAACGGATTGCTTATTTTGTTTGAGTGCTCTTTAATTTTGAAAACTGTAGGCCTGTTTAGGGATTTCCAGTTACTACGGCAATCGATTTTCCGTGTTGGAGCGTAAGCAGTGTTTACGCTCCAACACGAAAGCACCACTTCACGAGACACTCTAACGCTTGATTTGTCCTGAGAAACTTCGCTGATGAGTTTCTTTTGCTTCCTGCTCTTCTCTTAGCGAATTTCTGTATGATGAACATATTCTCTCTTTCGCCCATGATCGATGTTCCAGGTTACTCCTCTCTGCACAATAGGCTTTAAGCATTTCATGCATTTTCAGTCCGAAGTATGGTCTCTAAAGGAGCGTGTACCTGCATAGATTAAGTAGCAGAGTGGTATATCGCATCAAAGTACCATGGTGTCCTAAGATTTGTACTGCAGCATTGGCTGCAAAATTGTTAAAAGAAACGATGTTTTCAATCTATTCTGAAAGCGATCGTAAAGAAATATCTTCCAGAGTGTTCCAAAAGAAGCAAAACCCTCATGTAAGCTGTTTCCTCATGTAAGGGTTTCCTGACTGAATTTTGTGAGAGATACCTAATTAAAATTCAAAATATGTATGGAATAATATGTATCCAGGTAATAAACATTACTTTTGCAATTAGAAGTCTTCTTGCTTTTCTTCTGTTGAAAAATCATTCAGCTGGTTGCGTTAATACACATTTACCTATATATTTTTTATATTATAGAATTGAATTTTAACAAATTTTATTTAATCGACAAAATTTTAATTACATAAAATATGAGCGATATCAAAAATGAGCGCAGATGTGCCAGAAAGTCACGAAAAATCAAATGCATACATTTTTCCGTATTTTCTGACGGTCAATTTTGATTCCCTATTGGTATTCTGGCACACACCGGATAATATTTGTCCGCTGTAGCTACGGCTTTAAATAATCGCAAGTAAGGTCCCATGAACAGTCCAAACATCGTTGATCTTCGTTAATATAAAGCTGAGATGGTCATAAAACAAGCCCATATGTTTTAAAGTTTTGCTGGGTCCTCGGACGGCAGCAGCCAGTACAGTACCAATAATATCATCCATCACTCAGCTTTCGTGCAGGTTTTGCTGAACCCTAGAAGCTGTACTGGATTCTTTAGGAAAATGCGATCATTTACATTTTTCTAGGTCTTTGAGAAGGTTTTCTTTTTTGGGGGGCTAAGAGAGAGAGGGGATAACTTCTTTGTCTATTTCAGCGTCAGTTTCAAACCTATTACTGTGCTTGCATATCTGTATTCGCCTTTTTTCGATAACTTTTATCCTCGAAATGAACTCAGGATAACTTTTTATTTGTCTACTATAAATGTTTACTGTATTTTGCCTTTATTGGAAAGCAATATAAGTATCAATAATTTAGTTTCTTTCAAAATACCTTCCAAAAGGAAACCTAAATGCACAATAAACCATCTACCTAACAATACTGGTCCAGAAGATGTCACTGAAATAATTAAACAAGCAACTAATTTGGATGAAAATGAATTCACACCCTCTTTTAAAATAAATGACAAAAGAAACATTGGAATAAAATGGGTAATTGAATGCCCTCCTCTAGCTTTCAAAATACTAATGAAACAAAATATTATAAAATACGGCTGGAGAAGTCACAAAATCGCAGAATTTTTTGGATTACGTCGATGTTTCATATGTCAAGACTTTTCACACTCAGTCAGAAATTGCAAACATAGAAACTATTGTGCATTCTGTGGCGGCAATCACAATATCAAAGAATGCCAAGCAGAAAGTCCCTTATGTATAAACTGCATATTACATAACGATGCTAATAATACGGACCTTAATACATATTACCCTGCTTATGCACTAAACTGCCCAATATATCAAAACGAAGTGACCAAAGTAATTACAAGAACCGAATATGACATCTTAGATTAGTTTCATCCTTACCATTAACAAGTTAATACCACTTCTTCACTTTAATTCTCCCAAAACAATATAATTAATATGTCACCAATACTAATTAAAAATAAAGAATTTTCGACTCTCAAAATACAACAAATTAACCTTCAAAGAGCCCACTCTTCTATGACAAACCTGGTCCAAATTTCAACCGAGCTCAATCCAGACATAATCCTCATACAAGAACCTTACTGTGTCAATGGAAGAGTTAGCGGAATACCAAACTATTGGAATTGTATTCAATATGAATCTTCAGATAAATCTTCAGTCAGATCAGCTATCATCATCAATAACAAATACTTATCTCCAATAATAATCTTTACAAGTAAAGATATAGTTTCCATATTATTAAATAATAAAGAAAATCAACTTATCATCACCTCCTTCTATGCATCGCCATTAGAAAATTTAGAAAATAATATTACAAGCCTTTGTTCAATAATAAGGAAACATTCAAAATATCAACACCTAATAGAAGGCGACTTTAATGCCCACTATACAATATGGGGATATAATAATATTGATACAAGAGGTGAGCATGTCGAAGATTTTATAGCAGAACATAATTTAATTTTTCATAATAATGATAATAGCAGCCTACCTACGTATGAAACAATACATGGACGTGGATGGCCTGACTTAACTATAACCTCATATCAAATAGCTAACAAAATTTTATCATGGGAAGTTTTAGATACCATATCGCTATCTGACCATAAAATAATCTCATTCAGAATAGATCTTAATTTTGAAATAACCTTAACTCATTGGTTTAAAATTAATCCCAGATCTATTAAAATTATTAATCAGCTTATGAAACAAGATCTCTTCAAGATCCATCGGGAAATCAATAATTCATCTGATAAAATCACACTCAATAAATGAATGGAAAACCTTACAATATTCATACAGTACTGCTGCAAACAATCATTTATAATCCAAGAACCAAATAATAAACTTAATTTAAACTGGTGGACTAAAGAATTAAGGATACAGAGAAACAAAACAAGAGCATTCTATAGGAAAATGAAAAAAGCCTCCCTTCAAGAACTGAAAGATAAATTTTACATTATATACTCACAACAAAAAGCAATGTATAAAAAATGTTACTATCATCTAAAACTAAATGCTGGAGAGATTATTGTACCAAAAACACAGAAAGATATGGAAATGTTTACAAGATCTGTATGAACAACGTTTTTAAACCAACCCAAATCTCCATTACTTCAAACCTCAATCAATCTCAACATCAAGATCAAGATGCAACTTTAATAACTCTTTCTAATATCATGAAACAAGTTTTTCTACAAGACTCCTCTCAAGAAGATACTCCTGAACAATCGTACATCAGAAATAATAATACAGCTCCAGATACAATGGATGACTTTCCATTTACATTAAAGGAAATCTCTAATATAATAAAAATTTAGCAAGAAATAAG